ACCCGAAATTCAGTCTTTTCCTCATGCAAAATGGACCCTCCCTCTGGCTTGCCCGGAGTTCACTCTGCACACACAGAGCCCCAGCCCTTCCTCCTCCTCTTCCTCCTCCTCCTCCTCCTCCTCCTTCCTCCTCCTCCCAGCCCCGGCGCTGAGCCCGGCACGCACCTACCTACCTGCCTCCACCGCGGTGCAGGTGAGGAAGCTGAGGGCGCAGGCAGAGGAAGCAGCCCCGATCCCCCCCCCACACCGTGCCCAACACCGGACGCGATAGCCGCGAGAGCTTTTGTTAATCTGCACCCGGCGCTTAAAAAAAAAAAAAGGAAAAAAAAAAAAAAAAAAAAAAAAAAAAAAAAAAAAAAGGAAAAAAAAAGAAAGGAGGAAAAAAAGAAAAAAACACGTCAAACCTTCAGGAGTCTGGAGGCTGCGGCGGAGCGGAGGGCACGGGAGGACACTCACTCCCACACGAGCAGCTTTCTGGGAATTAGGGCCACAGCCCAACTGCTCTGGCAGCCCGCGCTCCCCTCCAGCCCTGGCTGCCGGTACGGCGGGGCCTGGGCAGCCTCCCCGGTGCCGGTCCCGGTGCCGGTCCCGGTGCCGGCTCAGCCTCCCCGGCCCCGCACGGCCCCGCCGCCGCAGGGTCGGACGCGACTCCCGCCCCTAATCTCCCGCTTTTCCCCGGGGAGGTGAGTAAGCATCGCTAATCCCGCTCTCTTCGCTGCTGGGCACAGACGAGCCGCGCTCCCCGCATTGCTCCTCCTGGGCCGGGGGGCTGCACCCCGGCAGCCCCCGCCCTCCCCACCCCAGGTCGCCCCTTCCCCCGCGAGGGGAAGGTTGGGATGGAGCAGCCAGGAGATGGAGCAGCTCCTCCCCGTCAGAGGGGACCCGGGGTGATGATGATGATGATGTCGCAGCCACCCACCTTTGCCGGTGCCCCCCATGCCCGTGTGCCAGCGCGGGGGTGCCAGGGTGGACGCAGGACGCGGCGGCGGATGCTGCTGGATTCTGCCTTCCCCGCATCCCTTTCCTTCCCAACCCCCGGGGGAGGACAGGCGGGACGAGCCGTCCCGGCAAGCCCCGGGTGCGGGGGCACAGTGCCCGTCCTGTGCCACCCCTTCGCCTTCAGTCCCCCCCCTTTCTGTCCCCCCCCCCCCACGTGCCCGGGACTCCTGTTTACCCAGCGCCAGGAACCAGCTTCAAATACCTTGATGTAATTAAAAGCTCACCCCGGGGCCAAGGGCTTAGGACGGCAGCCAGGGACACGGTCAGCCCGCTGCCACCTGCGTGCCGCACAGGCAGGGCTGGCAGCTGCCCGCGCTCCTGGCAGCACGTACCTGGCAGCCACCGGGGGCTCCTGCCCTCAGCCCGGGCCCCTCTGGTGCCCCCGGAGCCGGTGATGGGCAGGTGACGAGGTGGCAGGAGTGCTGGGCAGGCTGGCAAGGCTGTGCCTCAGTTTCCCTCAGTGCCCGCTGATGCTCTGCCTCAGTTTTCCCTGTTTCCTGGTGATGCTGTGCCTCAGTTTTCCCTGTTTCCTGGTGATACTGTGCCTCAGTTTCCCCTCGGTGCTTTGGGATGCTGTACCTCAGTTTCCCCCGGTTCCTGGTGATGTTGTGCCTCAGTTTTCCCTCTTTCCTGGTGATGTTGTGCCTCAGTTTCCCCTCGGTGCCCAGAGAAGGGTCCCCAGCACCATCCTGAGTGTGGAGTCCAGCTCCTCCCGAGCTTGGGGGATTGTGGTCCCCAACCCACCCCACCCCCCCCCACTCCCGCCCTAAGCCTCCGGTGTCACGGCAGGGACACGGAGCCGGAATCTTGGTCGGTGCCAGCGCGGGCTGGCTGGGGACAGACGGGTCCCCGGGGGGACAGGCGGTTGCGGGGAGGAGAGAGGGGATGCAGCAGCGTTCCTTCAGCCGTGTCCTCCCACACTCCCGTCACCTCGAACGCCCTTTCCCCGACCCCTCCTGCCACCACCGCGCTTCCCCACCCGCCATCCCTCTTCCTCGCCATCCTCCTCCTCACCCTCACCAGCGGTTCACCGGCAGCCTGGGGGCATGTGCGCGCTTGAGGACACGATGTGGGGGTGCAAGAAGTGCTGGCTGACCCCCCCCTCCAGCCCCCCATAATGAGGGAGGACGGTCCTACCTGCCCGGCAGCGGCGGGGAGGGTCTCAGCCCCCTCCCACCCGAGCCCCCCGCGCCCCCCGCCCGCGGGCAGCCCTGTGCTGCCTGCAGCTCCACATCCCGCCTCCCTGCCCTCTGCGGCGGCGGCGGGAGGCAGCTGAGAGCTCCCGGGGCTGCCAGAAAAGAGGCTGCGTTTAAACAACAGACATAATTATGCTTTTGATACCGTCTGCTAAAAATACAGCGCGGTGCCGCGCGGGGAGCCATGTGTGCGCGGCCTCACATGGCTCCCGCCCGGAACAGCTGACTCAGGCAGCGGGCACCGAGAGCGGGGGGGGGGGGAGGAGGGGGGGACGACGACCCCAGAGAGCATCGGGGGGTCCAGACCTTCCCCCAGCACCCCCCAGCCTGTGGGAGGGTGCTGCTCTGCCAGGGACCCCCCAACAGCTGGTTTAAGGGCGGTGAGGGCAACCCCAAGGATGGCATCAGCATCCCACACACCCCTCCCCCAGAAGGGCAGAACCACCCCCCCTGGTTGGTTGCAGTGGGGTGAAACGAGCTGGGAATGGGGCGGTGGGGAGGGGAAGGGCTGGAGGAGCGTGGATGTGTCACTCGGTGTCACCAGTGTGGGTTTGGGGGGGCTCAGGGGGCTCCCAGCCCCACCAGCAGTGGGGGAGTGGGGGGATGCTAAGGGGTGGGTGCAGGGGGGCTCTGGGGGTGGCACCCCAAGCACCCGGCAGCTCCCCCGGGGAAGGTCTGGAGGGTAAATCCCATTAATGAGTAATGAACCCACTTAACCTGACCCAGCACTGCCCGGGGGAGGGAGCAGGGCCAAGGTGACACCCCCGCAGTGCCCGGCCATGGCACCCCGGGGCACTGACCTTCGGCAGTGCCAAAGCACCGGATCATGAGGCTGCTGCCCTGCGGGAACGGGCACTGCCTGTCCCGGGGGCACCAATGGCCCAGGGTTGGCATCACCATTCCCTGGAGCAGCAGCCGTCTGTCCCTTGTCAGCTGGGAGAGGGAGCAGCCCAGGGTCACCCAGGCCCTGCCAGCTCCCAGGGATGCAGGCAGGGAGCCATTCCCCCTTGTCCTGGCACTCTCCCTTATCCCTCTCCAGCTCTCTTGGAGACCCTTTAGGTCCTAGAAGGCGCTCTCAGGTCTCCCTGGATCCTTCTCTTTTCCAGCTCTCCCATCCTGGCTCCAGAGCAGAGGGGCTCTAGCCCTTTGGAGCATCTCTGTGGCCTCCTCTGGACTTGCTCCAGCAGCTCCACATCCGTGTTGGAGACCCCCAGAGCTGCAGGTGGGGTCTCACCAGAGCAGAGCAGAGCGGGACAATCCCCTCCCTGAACCTGCTGGGGATGCAGCCCAGGAGCCCCCCGAGGATTATGTGACCTCCTGTGACGCCCCAGCCCCACTTCACCCCACCCCAGTGGGCACCAACCCTACCCTGGGATGGGACGGGGGTGTCCCCACAGCGGTGCCAGCTGGGGCTCAGCCTGGCACCCCCTCCCTGGAGGGGACTGTGGCAGCGGGCGAGCTCAGGTCAGGCGCTTAAACTGCCGTGCTGGGGCGGTGCCAGGCGAGCCGGGAGGGGATTAGGGCTTTGCTGACTGCAGCCTGGCACAGGCCCGTGCGCTGACACAGCTGGGATCGGCGCTGGCACCCGCGGGGGCTGCCGCGGCCCTGGGGAGGGGGGGACGGGCTGTGCCGCCCCGCCCGCCTCCCGTCCCCTCCTTGTGTTCCAGCCCCCGGGGGAACACACAGACCTGCCAAAACTCCTGGTTCCCTTCCCAGGAACACACCTTGGGAGTTGTGTGTGTGTGTGTGTGTGTGGGGAGGAGGGGTTGTGCCTCGCTTTGCCCAAGCTGGGAATCACTGATTCCCCCCTACCCCAGGGATGGAATTCTCAGGCACCAACGCCGCTGCCATCCCCCTGACAGCACACCCTGGGGTCCCCCAACCCGGGAGACACCCCCCACTTGACCCTCAGGCCACCCCAGCAGCCTCCCCGGGCTGTATCCTTGGAGGAACCGCGCTCCCTAAGCGGCTTTAGGGGGATTACAGGCAGCCCCCTGGCCCTTGCTGTCCCCACCCAGCCTTCCTTCTCCGCTGCTTTAAGTAATCATCTCCCAGGCAGTTTTACGGGGCTAATCCAGCCACCTCCACCTAAGCTGCTCCAACACCCCTGCCTGCCCCGGGACGCCCCTCGGAGCCTGCCCTGGAGGGGCTCCAGCCCGGGACAGACGCTCTTCCTGCCCTGGGAAGACCCCCTGAAAGCAGCCAAGGGCTAAAAATACGGGCTGACCCGAGGGGTGAGGGCAGGAGGGATTGGGAGCGAGGGGATTGGTGCCAGGGACAGGGCACCAGGGGACAGGCGGGTGCCCGGGGGGCAGGGGAGGCCACACGAGTCACCTTGTGCCACCCTGCCCTACCCACTTGTGCCCACCCAGGTGGGGACAAGCCCCCTGGGAAGGGGTTGGGAACACCCCGGGTGGGATGTGGGAGCACTGGCAGGGAGAGTTTGGAGGGGTGGGGGTGGGCAGGGCCGTGGGGACAATCCAGGAAGGATGGATGTCAGGCTGGGGACAGAGGGACAGGAATGTCCCAGCAGGGCCAGGGCTGCTGCTGCCACGCCGTGGGGGACGCGGCTACTGCAGGATCCTTGCAGCCCAGCACCAAACCCTCCGGCTTCCTGGGAAGTTTGGGGGGCTGACCTGGGGGTCTGGGGGTCCTCAAGTGGGTGGTAAAAGACTCTGGGTGGATCTCGAAGGATAAATCGTCCTCCAAAAGAGAAAAATCACCTCAGGGAGCTTCCCTGGAGGAGTCTGGGGCTGCCCCAGGGATCCCACCTGCCTAAGCAGAGACAATTCCTGGCTCCGAAAATCTGAAACAGCATTTATTTACTTATTTTTCCATGTACAAAACCCCCTATTTTTGGGGGGGAGAGGGGAATGTTAAAAGCCTGGGAATGTGGTGTCCAGCAAGGCAATGGTGAAGCACCAGCCCCCCCACCCCCTACAGGTTCAAGTGTGGGGGTGTCAGTCTGTGTCTGGAGGTGGCAGGGGGGGCCCCAAAAGTCTTTGGCTTCAGAGGGACAAGGCACATCCCATCCCATCCCATCCCTGGCTGCTGGGAGAAAGGGAATGTGGGGAACAAGGCACTGTGGCAGGATGGGAGGGGACCCCAGAGCGTGTGTAGAGTTCGTGGGGTGGTAGAAAAGGGGGGGGGACACTCACAGACCCCACAGGGAGAGGCGCCAGCGCCAAGCTGGGGGGTCTGGGAGGGGGCACTGGGAGCAGCAGTGTGTGGGCACAGCGAGGTGGTGCCCCCTCCACGAGGCACCACAGAGGTCACAGAAGGCATTTACAGTGTCAGGATGCAGGACCCCCCCACCCCACCCCACCCCAGGGATACAGGACCCTCCCCACCCCCCCCCAGGGAATGCAGAAACCGCCTCCCCTTCCCCACGCTGCAGCAGCAAACTCATGTAAAGGCTCCTGGCAGGGGTTTCCCGGGATTTTTAGCCGTCCAGATCCGAGGGAGTCGTTTTCCTCCTGATCCTGATGCGCAGGAGCCGAGAAGAGCCCTGGGCAGGGGTAGAGATTGGTCAGGACCTTCCCCACCATGGCCCCAACCCCACAGCGTGTCCCCCCTCCTGTTGGGTACCTCCTTTCCCGGGGCCTTCCTCAGGGAGCGCAGGCTCTGGCTGCGGGACAGGGGCTTGTGATCCCGGCGTGGGGAAGGTTGAGGGGACACCTGCGAGTCCGACCACGGCTCCTCGTCCTCCGTCTCGCTCTCGTAGCGCCGGCCGGCCGGGGCTGCGCCGCAGCCTGGGGACCGAGGGGACAAAGGGGACGCTACAGCTGCCGCCACGGCCCCCCCTGGGCTTCGCTGAGCCCCGTGAACCCCCTCCCCAGCTCACCCAGCCGGCGGCTGTCCTGCTCCTCCAGGTACAGCGGGTCCTGGAAGCTGGTGGGGCCCTCGTCGGGCAGGGAGCGCAGGTCCTGCATGCTGAAGCTGCGCAGCCTCCCGGCCAGGGCGCCCTGGCTCTGGGTTTGTGGGGGGGAAAAAGGGCAGGGCATGAGACACACAGCAAAAAAAACACCCTCAATCTGCACCATAGCCCCCTCCCTGGACGCCCTGCTAGCAGGGGGGGTTCACCCCGGGGAGGGATCCCCCTGGAGCGGAGGGTCCTGCCCGGGGCCGGTACCTTGGTGGCCGCCTGGACGGCGGCGGTGGCCGCCAGGTTGAGGCCCTTCTTGCCAAAGTGCAGCATCGCCTCGTAGCTCCGTTCCCGGGTCCGCACCAGGAAGGTGTCGATGTCCTGCCGAGACAACCAAAGCGTGGGTGGTGCTGGGGGCACTGTCACCTCCCGGGGCATCACAAGCTCCCCGGGCGTTGCCACCTCGCTGGGAGCCCAGCTCGGGGGGGGGCTGACCCTGCCCAGGACGGGCACAGAGGGCCCCCCAAAAGGCCAGGAGGCCTCACCTTCTCCTTGCGGGCCAGCGTGGGGTGCACGAAGCGGCGGTAGAGCAGGCTGGCCCCCCGCGTGTACGGGGACAGCAGCCACAGCACAAAGGCCATCTTCACCTCGTAGTAGAAGGGGAACCTGGGGCACAGCGGGGACACCATGGGGTGGGGGGGACACGGGCACATCCTGCTCCCCCCAGACACCAGCCCTGGAGACTCCACGTCAGATCCACCCCAGAGCCTGGTTGGGAACGGGCTCCTTCCCAGCTCGTCCCCAGCTCACCAGGAGATGAGAAGGTCAGTGAAGGTCTCTGTGGCCATGAAGAGGGCGAAGACGATCCAGTACATCATCCATCGGACCTGTGGGAGCAGGGAGCATGTCAAGGGCAGGCTGGAGCCTGGGAAAAGGGACTGGGAGACTGGGAAAGGGGGACTGGAGCCCAGAGAAAGAGGGGGGCTGGAGCTCAGGGGAAAGGGGAGCTCAGGAAGGGCCCAGGGAAAGGAGGGACTGGAGCCAAGGAAAAGTGAACTAGACCCTGGGAAGCAGGGCTGGAGCCCGGGTAAGGGGCTACTCACGTATTCCCGGATGTTTTTGGCCTTCACAGCCTTGTAGGACGCGTAGGCCGGGTAGAGCATCCCAAAAACCAGCCTGTAACGCAGAGGGGGGGTGAGGCAGCCCGGCCAGCCCGCGTAGAGCAGCAGGAACAGGGACCAGCAGAGCCGGCGGCCCCAGCGCCAAAGCCCGGCTCTGACCCCCCTCAGAACCGCCCCCATCCCGGAGCCACCGGGAAAAGGGTCGGGAAAAGGGTCAGGAAAAGGGTCGGAGCCACCCGGCAGCTGCCGTGGGGAGCCGGCCATGAGCACCAAGTCACTCCCACGCCCACGGGGACTGGCTGGACCTGTCGGGGCGGTGGCAGGGCACGGGCTCAGTCCCCGCCGGTGCCAGCCCCCACTCCCGGGGTGCCGCCCCCAAAACACCCACCTCGCGTGGCGGGCACAGCCGGGCACCCCAACACCCTCCCGTACCTGGGCAGGGGGAGCTGGGGGCACCCACGGGTCCCTGCTGCCCCACGGGGGGCTCCCCGGGCACGGGGGGCCACTGGGCGCCCAGCCCAGCTGGCCAACGGCGTGGGAGACAGGGGGGAGAACGGGGCTGTGGGGGGTCAGGGCTGGATGTGGGGACCCTCCCGGTGGTGCAGGGGATCCCCCCGGATGATGCAGGGCCCCCCCAGTTGCTGCAGGGACCCTTCTGGGTGATGTGGAGACCCTACGAGCAGGGACCCCCCTCCAGGCAACGTGGGGACCCCCAGCAGGGACCCCTTCAGATGATGCAGGGACCCTTTGGGTGATGCGGGGACCCCTCTCGGGCAATGCAAAGAACCCCTCTGAGCAAGAAACCCCCCCAAGGGGACGCAGAGACCCCTCCCAGGCAATGCGGGGACCCTCTGAGCACGCCCCCCTCCTCCAGGGCGATGCTGGGACCCCTCCGGGGCGATACAGGGGGACCCCCCAATTGTTGATGCAGGGGGATCCCAGGCCGAGCTCTCCCCCCGGGACGGGCAGGGAGGGTCGAGAGCAGCTCGTGGACGCATTTTCAGGGCTGGGGGGTGGCGGTAGGGGGCTGGTTATCCCCCTACAAGCGATTTGGGGCCGCCCCCCCCCCAACCCCGCCTGGGGCTGCTCCGTTAAGTCCCCGCTGCGGGGCCGGCACGGGGATCTCCCGTTAACCGAACAGCCGGCGGGGGACAGGGGACCGGGGACCCTTGGGAGCCCCCTCGGGGATTCCCCCACCCCGCACCCCTCCCCATCACACCCCCCCGGACCCCACTCACTCGATCACCCGGCTGAGGATCCAGGACACCATGGTGCGGGCGGGGCCGGGGCCTCGGGTGGTGCCGAGCGGGAGGGTGGGCGCTGTGCCCGCCCTGGGGGCCCCCAAAAATCCCCCCGAAGCCGCCCCCGAGGAAACGAATCCCAAAAGTTGAATGTTGGAGGCACCGACCGGCGCAGCCGCCGTGCGGGCCCCACCGCCCGCTCTTAAAGGGGCAACGTTTTTAAAAGGGCAACGCGTCTTAAAAGGGCAACGCGCCTTTAAAAGGGCAACGGCGACTCTTAAAAATGTCGCAGTGGTTCCCGGAGCTTTGCTAGATTGCATTTTAATCTTTAAAAAATTCCCCTAATAAGTGAAATATTAATGTAAGATATACAATATATTAATGTTAAAACGTATTTTTAATATATGTTTTAATGTTTATATAATATTTTATATATATTAATATTTATATAAATTTCGTTACTTTTAATTTATTATAACTATCTATAAATAATTTCTATATTCATATATGATATTGTCTTTCTATATTTCTATATTAATAAATAATATTTTATAAAAACATCAATATCTTTATATTTATAAATATATATTTAATTAAAATATTATGTATTTATATTATGTTTAAAAGGAATATATTATATATTTCTTTTTTACAGACAACAATACATTAGTCCTAATATAGTAAGCGTTGACGTATTAATATGCAAGGGATTATATAAAATGTGTATTAAATATTCCCTCTTATAAAAATATCCAAATATAGCTTTTCATTATTAAATATTATTATATTAATTAATATAATAATATTACAGGTATAAAATTTGAATTTTTTTAATATTAATAAAATTAATTTTTCGACCAGGATTTCATTTTCCTTTTCCTTTCTCTCGGGTGTGCTGCTGAACCAGGGCCAGGGCTCTGCAGAGTCCCGCAAAATGCTCCAGGGAAAACAGAATCTACTGGAATCTCCTCTCTGGGCCACCTTCCCCTTGGCTCTGTAGCCCCCGGAGCGTTCCAGCTCCCCCATCCCAGTCAGGGACACCGTGGAGGTGCCAGAACGCCCCTGCAGTGCTCCCTGGGCCTTAAAATCTGCCCTTTCCCGGCGGGGAAACTGAGGCAGGGAAGCGTGGAAATGCTCCGGGAGCCGCCAGGTTCTGGCTCTGCAGCCGCCCAGGTCTAATCCTGCTCCCCTAATCCATCTGTGCCCCGGGGGCGCCCGTTGGTTTGAGAGGATCTTTATTTGTGAGCCTAATTGGCGGCTTTTCACATGCATATTTACAATCCCCGGGAGACAGGGAAAAAGCTCCCCTGGAAAACCAGTCCGGCGGAGAATCCCCTCCCCTGGGGAAACACCTCCTGCTTCCCACCCCCACCGCGGGCCAAGGTATCTGCTGGAAAAAAAAAAAAACAAAACACACCAGGAAAGCCACGTGAGGGGCCTGGAGCACCCTAAAATGAGGGATTCGCCCTTCCCGGTGCTGTGGGATGCTGAGTGGGGCGGGACTGGAAGGAGCAGGAGCGTCTGGAAGGACCCATGGAAGGTGTTGGCAGACACAGGCAGGGCTGGGGGGTCACAGTGTGTTTATTGGGGGGTGTTTTGGTGGGCACAGACACCTCGGGTACCCCCGCCTGGCAGCAGGGCCATGGGCACAGGGAGCTGCTGGACGTGCGCGGAGGGGGATGGGACGCAGCCCTGCTGCTGCCTCGGGGCATCCCATTGTCCTCAGGGCATCCACCTCAGAGCATCTGCTGGCCTCGAGCGTGTCCCATTGTCCTCAGAGCATCCCATTGTCCTCCAGGCATTCCAGGTGCATCCAGCTTGGAGCATGCCATCATCCTCGGAGCATCTCCGTGGCCTGGGGCATCCCGTTGTCCTCATGGCATCCCATCCCGTTGTCCTCATGGCATCCCATCCCACCCCGTTCACCTCAGCCATCCCATCCTCTCTGCAGCACCTCCTCTGCCTGGGAACACCCCAAATTCCCGGGAGCCCCCCACCCTTCCCATATAAATCCCCCGCTCTGTGCCCCCCCAAACTCATCACCCAAGCAGGCAGAGATCCACCCCCCCCGCCACCCCCAACCCCCTTGGCCCCTCGGGGGTGCGAGGGCTGTCCCACCCTCCTCCCCTGCACCCCACGGGAAGGCTGTGGGCGCTGCACATGGAGAAAATGGGAGCATGGGGGGTGGGGGTGGGGAAACTGAGGCACTGTGGGTGTGGGAGCTGCCCTGGGTGATGGGTGACATCGGGGGGGACGCAAGTGGGGCCAGGAGCGGGCTGTGACCGTGGGGCGGGACGCGGTGGGCACATGCATGTCCTCGGGCAGGACGTGGCGCCCCTCTGGAGGGGGGGGAAAAACTCCAACCCCCGGCTAGAGGCTGAGGTCCACCACCTCGTGCCGGTACACCAGCGTGTTGGCCTTGAAGCTGGGGGCCAGCAGGAGCTGCACGTCGGCCGCCGGCACGTAGCGGAACGCCCGCGGCGCCTGCACCGACAGCTCCTGGAACTTGGCGAACTTCTGCTTCTCCTCCTCCCACAGGTACACGTGGGTGAAGGAGAAGTCGCTGCCCAGCGCCAGGTACTGCCGCTGCCCCACGGCGAAGGGCTGCATCACCATGGAGCCGCGGGACGGCAGCGTCTGCACCTCCACGAAGCGCTGCCCTTCCCAGCGCACCACCTTGGAGTCGCCGATGTAGCGGCTGAGGCAGAGGAACTGGTCCCGCTTGGACCTGAAGTGCTTCACCATCTGCACGTCCAGCATCTCCCCCACCTCGCCCTGCGCCACGAACTGCTTCTGCGCCCGGCTCCACTGGTAGATCACGGGCGCCTGGGAGCTGCTGGCGATGATCAGCCGGGGTTTGCCGTCGTTCTCCACGTACTCCACGTCGGTGTCGCGGTGCCAGGCATGCAGCGCCTGGTGGGAGTAGAAGCCGTTCTGGTTGAGGCGGTAGAGGCTGGTGGAGCCCGCCTTGGAGCTGTCGGCGATGACGAAGTACCAGTCCCCCTCGATCTGGAAGGCCTCGATGTCGTTGGGCTTGCGGACCTTCTGGCTGTCGATGTCCTGGATCTTGATGAACTTGTCCACGGCCGTGTCCCAGCGGTAGATGTAGGAGCCGCCGAAGAGCTGGGCCACCACCACGTAGAGCTGGTCCTGCACCACGATGGGCTTGCAGTGCACGGCCGAGTGAGCTGCCAGCAGGACCGCGGCACGTCAGGGCTGTGCCCTCCCCAGCTCACCCCGAAATGAGCGTCCCATCAGCCCCCCTTGCCCCACTGCCTTACCAGGGATGCGGTCGAAGTCACGGAGCTTGCGCTCCACGTAGTCCCACTTGAGGATGGAGCAGCTGCTGGCACCGGGCTGTGCCAGGGCCACGTACAGGTCGCTGGCGTAGGTGAAGGGCTCAGCTGACACTGCCTGGAAGGGCAGGACCTGGTGCATCACGAAATCTGGGGAGGGGAGAGGTGGCGGTGAGGGTCCAGCCACCCAGGCACGGGGTGATGGGTGGTGGCAGCCCCTTGCCTGTGGTGATGCACTGGAAGTCACTGAGCGCCAGGTCCCGGATCCGCTGCCCCTCGAACTGCCCGGGGCTGCTGCAGAAGACGGCGGGGACCGTGGTGTTGGTGCTCTCCAGCCACTTCACCAGCCACTTGATCTTGCAGTCGCAGGCCAGCGTGTTGCCACGCAGGTCCCTGCCAAGGATGGCGCCGAGTCACCCCCAGCACCCACTGGGATGTCACCCTCTCCCCAGCCTCACATCCCAGGGGTCCCTGCCAGGCTCCAGGCCCTCCTCCCAAACCCTGGGATGTCACCCTCTCCCCAGCCCTCTGTCCCGGGGGTCCCCAGTGCCATGGCAGCCTCACAGGTCACTCAGGATGTCCAGCGGCTTGAAGAGGTCCCGGGGCAGCGTCTGCAGGTTGTTGTTGGCCAAAGACCTGCGAGACAAGAGGGGTCCTGGAGACACATCCCTGGCAAAGCCCCCCCCCACCGTGTCCCCCGTGGGACCCCCATGTGCTCACAGGTGTGTCAGGGACTTGAGCCCACGGAAGGTGCCCTTTGAGAGCGCCTGGATGTCGTTGTTCTCGATGAACCTGTAGCGGGAGGAGACGGTGGCACGGCCGCCCCGAGGACCCCCCTGCCCTCCCCGTGCCCTCCCCAGGGCTGTGCCCGGCCCCGTGTCCCCATCCCTGTCCCACGCACAGGTACTGCAGGTGTGAGAGCCCAGCGAAGGCGTTGTCCCCGATCAGCGTGAACTTGTTGGAGTTGAGGAGTCTGCCGAGAGAGAGAGGGGGGGGAGAGGTGTCAGCGCTGGGTGGGCATCCAGGGCACCAGGGACGCTCGGCTGGGGGAGCAGGGGGACATACAGGAACTGCAGGGAAGGGATGTGGGCAAAGGCTGCCTCCCGGATCTCCGTGAAGGCCACGTTCACCATTGTCCTGCCGGAGAGACGGAGCTTCAGGGGAGGGGACGGGGCCAGCAGGGTGGCACTGCCCCCTCCCAGACCCCTCCCAGCATCGATGTCACCTGCTGAGTGCCACCACAGCCCCCCTCAGCAGGGAGGGGTGCTGGGAGAGGGACCCCAGCAGCCCCTTTTGCCTGTCGGGGGGGGCATGGAGGGCCTGGCACCCACCCCGCGCTGCCCACGCCCTGCGGCAGCCCCTGGCCCAAGGCCACGTGCACGGACACGGGTGTAAACACACACACACACGTGTGCACACACATGTACACACATGTACACGCACATGTATCTACCACACACACCTGTACCAGGCTCTGGGGAACCTCCATGTCCCCAGGGACCTCCGTGAGGACCCCCCCCCCCCAGCCATCGGGCTCTGGTCCCCAAGGTCACAGCTGTGTCCCCTCAGGCTCCTGTAGCCAAGGTCACGCTGGGGACAGGCTGCAGCCCTGCTCTGTCTGTCACTGATGGATGGTTGCGTGTGCCACCACCGCAGGACACCGGGAGCAGTCCCGGGCTGTCCCCAGACTGATACTTCCCCCCCCCACAGCCCTCCCCGCACTGCCCGAACCCCACCCTGCCCGAGTTTGCCCCCCCAGTGTGGCACAGAGGGGCTGTTCCACTCCCTGTCCCCATCCCTGTCCCCGTCCCCATCCCGGGTACTCACAGCGAGATGACCTCGGGGGGCAGGTTCTTGGGCACAGCCTTGGAATCCACGCAGAAAGCCGTGTCCCGGGTGCAGGAGCAGGTCGGGGGGCAAGGAGGGGGCCGGGGGGGCCGCCTCCCCTCCGCCGGCAGCCAGAGCCAGGCCGCGGCGAGGAGGAGGAGGAGAGCGGAGAGCCGGTCCCTCAGCATCCCTCTCCCGCTCTGCAGCTCCATCACGCCCTGACCTTATCCCTGTTTGATCCCGGGAGCTGTTCCCAATCCTGCTGTGTCCGGGAACTGTGGAAAAGCCTTTCCCTCTCCTGTTTACCCCAGAGATGTCAGCGTGGAGGAGCAGCGATGGTGTCAGCAGAGGCTGCCGGCGGCTGACCCGCGGCTCTGCAGCACACCATGCTCCTTTGCTGCGGGGAGGAGGGAGGGAAGGAGGGAGAGAGGGAGGGAGGGAGGGAGGGAGGGATGCGGCTGAGTGGCAGCGCCAGCATCCCCGGGCACGCGTGTCCGTGTGTTCTCACCAGCGAGCAAACATGGGGTTCCACACTGCAGGCAGGGTGACCGCTGTGTGCCCTCGGGGTGCTCAGGGATGGGGGACAGAGGGGTACCCGCAGAGGGGGAGGCAGCGAGGGGGCTCTCCCGGCTCGACTCTGCAGCCCTGCCCGCACCAGCTCCCTCTGCCCGCTCTGGCTCACTGGGCACCCATCCACCCCGCCCCAGGCGCCCGCCCGTCCCAGGCACCCATCTCTCCCATCCCGGGCGTCCATCTGTCCCGTCCCTGGCACGGCGCCGGCGGGAACAATGAGCCCAGCCAGCTCCTTGCCCTCGCCTGGGAGGGGGGGTGGGGGCACCCACAGCTGCCCGTGCACGGGCAGGGATGCAGCACCCCCAGAGACGTGCTGAGGGTGCTCTGGGGACGCTGCCAGGCCCGGGCCGGGGTGTGGAGGGCGGGCACGCTCTGCTGTGCCTGCTGTTTGCCTTGGCCCAGTAAGGACCCTCGGAGGTTTCGTGTCCCCTCCCTGGCTCTCCAAACAGCCCAAGTGGCACCTTGGCAGCTGGGGCGGCCACAGCCTGCCCCCCACCCACCCGTGGCCATATAAATCCCCCCAGGCTGCGGCTGGCAAAGGGACAGGAGCGCCCGGAGAGATGGACGACAGCTCCAAGGAGGCGCTGATGGAGGAGGCACCCCCGGTAAGGAGCACCCACCGCCCGTCCCGGGGCTGAGCACCCACTGCCCTGCCTGGCCCCACGCCGGCAGCTCAGCCAGGCACTCCCCTCTCCAGAGGTACACGGAGTCCCCCCGCCTGCCCTGCGTGTCCCACCAGCTCCGGGGCCTCCTGACGGCGGTGGGGATGATGGTGGTCCTCGTGGTGGTGGTGGTCGCCTTCCTGCTCCTGGGGCTGCACATCACCGAGGCACACGCGGAGACGGTGAGGGCAAGGGGGGGTGGGATTGGGAACAGCCAGCAGGGCCTTGCAGGGATGGGGTTGGGAGCTCCCTGACCCCGCTCCCCCCGACAGGTGTTGCGAATGACCATCCACGGGCTGGATGGCGAAGGGACCCCTCAGCACCTCTCCATGAGCAAGAGGGAAAGGACCGGGACGTTCTCGGTGCAGGATGGGCTCAACGCCTCGGCCATGGTGGTGTACGACTACAGCAAGGTGTGAAGGGGGACTGGGGACACGCACAGGGGGGGCACAGGGTGGTGCTGAGCTGACCAGGGGTCTGTCTGCCAACAGCTGCTGGTGGGCTACAGGTCCTGGCGGCACCGTGCCTGCTTCATCACCCGCGTGGCCAGGGACAACTTCCCGGGGCTGGACGCCATCACTGACACCTTCCAGCGCCGGCAGGTGAGGATGGGGATGGGGGTGGAGCCGCACTGGGCTCATCCACATCCCTGGGGGCTTGCTGTGGCTGCCGAGGGTGGCAGCCCCTGCCCCGTTCTCTGTCCTGCAGGCTGAGCAGGCTGGGGACAACGCTGTGCCCTTGGCCGACCGCTCCATCCTGGGCACCACCATCAACATCCTCTGCAGCGCCGTCCCCGTGTACTGGGCATAGCGCCGGTTCCCGGTGGGATGGGACAGGGAGAAGGGGATGTCACCGGTGTGTCGCCGTCCCTGGGCTCACTGGGTTGCCCTCTGGGATGTCCAGGCATCTCCCCTCCTCCCTGTGCCCGTCCCGAGGGCAGCCACCCCGCTGTGGGGGTGCTCCATCCACTGTCACTTGGCTTTCCCACCCGGCATTCACAATAAAAAAAAAGTGGGATTTGATTTGGGATTTGCTTCTGTCTGTCTGCAAAGTAAAGCCTCTGTCCCCTCCTCCAAGTGCTGCTCTGGTCCTTCCCAGGGTGGTGGGGCCAGCACACGCTGTTCCAGGGATGTCTCCTTCCTGCAGGGTGGGAAGGTGAAAGCCTTTGGGTCAGGGGCAGTGGCACAGCTACCCCTTGTTGGAGATCAGGCTCCCAGTGCCCCCACCCGTGCACTCCCAATTTCCAGGGATGGCAGGAGCAACCTCTGCACTTCCAGCCCTCCTGGAAAAGTCCCTGCCCCTGTCCCCTCCTTGCACAGATGGGGGCAGAGGGTCTGTGTCACATCCCTGGTGAGAGCCAAGCCCTGGATTATCCACAGACACCACAATCCAGTTGCTCCAGCTCCACTCTATCCCCACTCAGTACCCATCCCCACCCACCCTAGCCCCTCTGCACCCCACTTTGGGGGACACCTCCAAGGCCTGCACCAGAAAAATGAGGATTAGTGGAGCTGGGAGGGGGAAGAGAGACCCTGGGAGGTTGATTTGGCCTTTCCAGGGGTGCAGACTCGGTGTTGTCCCCGCAGTCACTGCCACAGGCAGCGAGGGGGAGGTCAGAGCTCCGGGAGGGCAATGCGTTGCTGGGAACAGGAGGGAAACTGCATGTGCTGACCCACAAAATGCCCTGACCTTGTGTTGCCCTGGCAAGGATCCAGGCCAAGAGTGTGCCCAGGGCTGTGGAAGGCTAGAAGGGCCCCCGTGGTGTCCGAGAGCAAACAGGGAGGAGCCACTGGAGGGTCTCTCGTGGTCCTTTGTCACCCTGGGAAAAGAGGCAGCGTGAAATGGGGTGGGGGGAGGCCTCACACAAACCCCCACACCTGTCTGCAAGCTTTGGGGGCGGGGGTTGGAGAGGTCCCAGCCTGAGCCCAGCTGCAGGAGAGCCTCATGGATGGGCACAGCCAGGGCACAGCAGTGTGCCCCCTGCCAGCTGGGGTGACATACCAGAGCTGGGACCCCTCTCACCATAAAACAATCCACAGTGCAGCCCCAAAAGCTACAGGCAGCGGTAACCAAGCACCCTCAGGACCAAGAAGGAGGACCGGGGACATGTCCCAACCCTACAGTGACCCCGTTCCCACCCCACCCCTGGGGATTACGGGAAAGCTTCAATGTCCTGTTTGCTCTTTCACCCACCTCAAGCAGCTCCAGGTGGCCGGGCTGGCGAAGGGACACGAGCCAGGTGTGCCCTTGGCTGCAGCCACAGCCGGATGCTCCACGCTGGAGGGTTTGCTTTGGCCCTGACCCCTCGCTCCTGGGCAGCAGAGAGCTCCTCGTGCCCGGGGATGAGTGTCCTCGACCCAGCGCCCTGGGAGCCTCTTGACCTGCACGTTCCCAGCAGGATCCGGCCCGGAGCGGGTGTTCAGCAAACACCAGTGGAGAGGGTCACATGCCAGAGCTCGACTGCCCCCCTGGGGACACCAAACCCTTCACAGGGGCCGCTCCTGCCCCCACCCCAGTGCCCTGGTATAAAGCACCCAGTCCCTGCGGGCAGGCCGGGCTGGGAGGAGGAGGAGGAGGAAGAAGAGGAGGGAGAGGAGGCTGCCATGGAGAGCAGCATGAAGAAGGTGGTGGTTGAGGAAGAGGAGGTGAGTCTCTGCAGAGTGGCACGTCCCCTCAGCACAGGGCTTTGCCCTGTTTATCCCAGCCAGGCACCAGTGCAGGTGTGACGGGAAGGGCCCGTGGGATGCTGCATTCCCAGCATTCAGGGGCTCTGAGGTGGGAGCAGCGGGATGCTGAGGGGCAGTGGGGTGCCCAGGGGCAGCGGGGTTTCGAGCTGCTCCTCCTGTGCCCCCCACTTCCCACCTCCATCCCACTCACCCCGTCTCCCCCGCTTTCCCCAAACCCCCCAGGACTCGGAGCAGGGATGCTGCTGCCCAGGCTGCTGCTTGCCCTGCACCATGTGCTGCGCCAAGTGTGCCCGGTGCTGCTGCCTGCCCAAGTGCTGCTGCAAGTGCCCCAAGTGTCCCGGCTGCTCCGGCTTCTCCGGCTGCTCCGGCTGCCTCAAGAAGTCCCTGTGCTTCGTGCCCCGCCTGCTGTGCTACCTGCCCCGCAAGCTGCTGGGCTGCCACAACCTCCGGTGCCTCCTCATCGTGGTGGTGGTGGTGGTGCTGCTGGTGGTCATCATCGCCGGCGCCCTGCTCATGTGGCTGCACGTCGACCAGAGCCACGCCGACACCGTGAGTGGCCACCCCCACCAGGGACCCCCACAGGGAGGGGGTGCTGCAGGCTCTGAGATCCCCCCCCTCAACCCCTCTCCAGGTGCTGCGGATGGGCCTGTGGGGAGGGCCGGCCTGGGAAGAGGATGCGGCCACTTTCTACCTGGACGGCGGGGATGGGGCTGCGGCCACCGTGGTCTACGACTACAGGAATGTGAGTGGGGGGCACCCGCGGGGGGGGAAACACGGGGTGGTGGGGGTGATGGGATGGAGCTGACCCAGGCCTGACTTTCCAACAGCTGCTGGTGAGCTACAGGTCCCATCTGCACCGCGCCTGCTACGTCACCCGCGTGGACAAGGACAACATCCCGGGGCTGGACGCGGTGGCTGAGACCTTCCAGCGCCGGCAGGTGAGGGGTGACCTGGCTGGGGCAGGCTGGGGTGTTTGGGGGGGGCGAGGATTTGGGGTGCAGCATCTGCCTCGTTTCTTTTTTTTTTCCCCCTTCTCCCCGCTCTGCAGGACGGGCAGAGGATCTCCCTGCCCCTGGCTGACCGCTCCCTGCTGGGCACCACAGCGAGCATCCTCTGCAGCGCCCTGCCCGTCTACTGGGCTTAGCCCTGCTGGGTGAGCGTGATGGGTGGGTGGGGGACACTGAGGGACCTGTACCCACCCACCAGCACCCTCACAGCGCTGGCTTTGCCTTGCAGCACCCCCGGTGTTGCCACAGCCCCTCTGGAAGCATCAGCGACAACGCCACCACCCCCCACCCCCCGCCCTGCCCACCCCAATTTTGGGGCGGGGGGGGTGGGGGGTGGGCAGGGGTCGGGGAGGTCAGCGGGATGGGGGTAGGGGGGATGCACACGCGGGGCCGTGGGTGTGGGGGCGGCGGG